CCAAGTGCCTGAACTAGCAACCACTTGTTGAAGAAGCAGAGGGCTGATAACAAGGGCACTCCCAGTGCAAGACCCCAAAACTGATAACCTATTTTGCCTGTGAAAACCACTTTGTTGACCATCCAATACTTACACAGCTCGTCAAGGCAGACTTTTTTTCCCAGAAGGAATGTTAGCATTTAAAGCAGCAGGGGGAAAGCGAGAATTTTGTTCTTTTTACACTGACCAAATATTCAATATCAGTGGGTGTGTGAATATATACATACTGTTTTGATGAACGTGTTCGATCTATAAAAATCAAGCCTGGAAAAAAAAAGCCCTACAGCTATGAGCACTCTTGAGAAGCTTTACAAACATAAGTAGTTAATCCTGCATATAATATTAAAATATGCTAGTGACACAAAAAAAAAAAAAACCTACCCAAGTCAGTAAGAATTAAAATAGCATTCAAACCTTCAGAAGCTCCTTAAAATAAAATTCAACCCAGCAGGTAAGCATATCCCCCTGAATTCCGCACGTTAGTCTTAAATTTCTTAGCATATTACTGTGCATTATTGCCTGTGCAGCAAGGACAGCTACAGAGACAAATTCTGGTATCAATACTTGCTAAATTTGAAAGATACTGGACCGAACAGTGAGTCTCTCAGCAGGGTTAAGAAAGAACTGGAGCTTTAAGAAACTGAGTATCTGCTTCCTAATTGCTAGATGTAAGCTAGATTTTGCCAAAGTTTATATTCCTGCTCTAAAGAACTTACTACAACACAGACAAGCAGAACAAGGGAATCCAAACCAAGAAAACTATTTCTGCATTGGCCTATATCCTACTGGATGTTGCTAACACATGTGGTAATGTGTTAGCAACAGACGGAGAAATTTATTTGGTTTCAACCACAAACTTTTTACGTAGCTGAAGGGAATGTGAAGAGCCAAGCTGAACCACTGGAACAGCGATCCTGAGATGAGGCTCCACGGAAAGGAGGGTGATCCCAGGGCGCTTGGCTCCCCTAACTCCCAGATCAGGAAGAATCAAACATGTTTTTAGCTGGTAGTGTTTTTAGACGGAAGCACAAACACGAAGGATGACAGAACGTTTCTGTGGCATCACGGGAGTGCAAGGAAAGACCCACAGATTAGTTATGGACTGTAGTGAAAATCTGAGAATTGTTGTAGTACATCGTGGTTTTCTTAAAAACTGACACAGCTGAAGTGAAAAGAAAAAGGTTAGTTTGCCTTCCAATTAGTGTCCCCAGCTGAGGCTCTGTGTGGCTACATAAATGTAGCTTTTGGTGACAGTACTGGCTTGGCACACACAAAAGACTACGGAGCCCGAGCGCTTACCAGACCTTATGTGAAAGTTCAGCTTTCTCATCTTAATTTAGACCTCATTCACAATTAAGAAAAGATGAGCAATCCTGGAATCCTATTCTTGCTGAGGCATTTCCTCCAGAAGTCCCTGAAAACACGAGTGGTTAATGAGCAGCTTGTGCTTTCACCACGCACAACGCAGGCATGTTTGAACCTGTAGCTACACCAGTAGAGGACTTCACACCAAACAGTTCCTTCTCATTTCTGTTAAAATGCGACAGAAATGCTGCCATTAAGCAGGCTTCCATCTGCTTCATCATAGTAAGACATCAGTGAAATTTTCTGGTACATTTCCTCATGAAAACAGCTGGTCTACACACACAAAAAAAAACTTGCATTATTTAAAAATAACACCAGAACAGCAATATTGAGAGCCACTGCCATCACCAGTAACAAAACAAAGGGCTGCAGAGGTAACAGGGTGCTTAAGGTCCCTTCATTTGCACGCCCTTGTTTGCCACTTTTTTCTTCAGAAGCAACGTCCTAGGAGTTTCCTCCACTTGGAGGGATGGACACGCTGCAGTCCTGGGGCTCTAACCATGGCTGAAAGGTTCTTTGAAGTCCGTTCACATTCGCTTTGAAACGGTCCCGCTGGGCCCCTGTCCTCCCTCCTGCTCAAAGCGATCCCGCTGCTTACGAAACATCCCTGATAGAGATTTTTTCATGCAGGCCAATTAAGGCACGTGTTTTGTTTTTACTCCGTTCGAGATTCACATTTAAATGAACTCTCCCTTCACTGTTTGTTAAAGGCAACGCGACAAAGACGTCTTTTCACCCGACACTTGGTCTTCCAAAAATATTCCACTGGGTCTTTCGTGTCCAATAGCCCTGGCTTCCAAATGCAATACACTGAAAACGCGCAACCTCTAGCACTATGAAGATGGCTTCCAAATGCAATACACTGAAAACACGCAACCTCTAGCACTATGAAAAGTAAATCACTTAACATAAAAAGAAACAGAGAAGTAAGAATTAAGTATTTTTCTTTCTAAAATTTAATGTCCAACCAAAGTTATGCTGTTTCAACAATATCTACTTATTGCTAAGACCCAAGAAAACTAAATGAACAAAATGAAGAGCTAATGGATACAGACGTAATTCTACTTTTTCTTAATTCCTTTTTGTTTAGTCACAGGTATGTTTAAAATTCAGGAGTTAATTTGAGGTTCAAAAAGGAAGAAAACTTTTTTAAGTTCACAGTGGGAAGTAAAGGAGAAATATGTGAGTGTAAAGGCACGGTATTTCTAAATCCTCAAAAGAAAACAATAACCAAAACCAGCCAGCCCTACCAAAACCAGCCAGCCCTGAACAATGCTTTAATACAGCAAATTTAAATTAGCCATCAAACATTCTTTTGGATTTTAACTGTGGCAATTTAAAACATATGTAACTACATTCTAGTTCTGTTTTCCCCTCCTTGGGGAGACCCCTTTAAAGAGATTTCAATTTCCACTTACGCAGAAACCATCAATAATAAAACATATCAGTAGCACCCAAAAAAAAGATCTCTAATGAGAAGAAAATGTAAAACACTTCTATAGACATTTAAAGCTGATATATAACTGATTAAATATATACAGATAACAGCCTTCTAGTTATCAAAAAAGTGCAAGTGAAGATATGATTAAACCTGTGAACTTGGCTCAAATCAAAGTTTAAATATCATCAAATGAGAAACCATCTAAGAAATTAGTAGAAAATAAAGACTTCCTATTTGCTGATTTAAATAATTAATACAAATATAATTTAAATTAGCCCATTCTGGCATGTGTGTTTAGTATAATATCACTTGATACTAATTTTCCTAAATGAATATGCTGAAAAAGCCCACTACTGTGGGTATTTCCTAGATAAGGACGCAAGGTGCCCTTTCAGCTGTGCATTAGCTATATGAATACCATAAATAAATAATGGTGTCTGCAAGAGCGTGTATTGCCCTTGGGATGCCAACCCAAAATAAAAGAAAACTTCAGGCTAATTCGTAACTGTGCCATTTCTATGGCTTATTTAAATATATATATACACACATCTGCAGTCTATATCACGCACCACACACTTTATAGTGTTCTGTATGTGCTCATACAGCTCCCAGGTGGGAATCTATCCTGTCCCAACACACAGTTTTTCAGGACTGTCACTCGCGGCCTCTGCGAGCCGTGGAAATGACAGGGCACAACCGGACACAGAGAAACAGCGGGCGCTCAGCTTCTGCTTGGGAAAACTGGAAACTGATTTTTCTATTCAAAGTCTTATCTATAAAATAAAGTTTGAAGTTCCATCAGTTTTAGAAGAGATATCCAATCCACTTTAAATTGTTTCAAGTCATAACTTCAATATAAAAGGACATTAAAATTAGAGCTTAAGCAAACCTCAACAATTTCAACTAAATTGAAAGAAAATTGTTTCAGACTAGTGTGCCTTTAGAAGGAGCTTGTTTATCTTTTTTTCTTGAATCATCTCTGATCAGTATTGTGAAACTCGCACGTGAGCAAACCTTCGTGGGGCCAACGGCAGCCCTGAACAGCAGCTCTGCCGGTCACAGCACGTAACAGAGCGTTGCCACCACGTAAGCCACAGGCTGGATGACACTGCAAATGGAAGAGTTGTAAAATACAGACTAAACACCCGGCAAAAGTTGATTACAGGTGTATCTTTAACCATGAGGTAATCAAACAGGGTCACGCACTTAATTCATGTGAAGAACAGACACACTTGCATAATAAAATGGGTAAGAAAGCATCAGGAAATACAGATGCCTTCACCTACACATGCTTATTAGTCCCAGTATCATTACACAACACGACCACATTCTTCTTTATAGCTAGTTCAAAGTATCACAAGTTTCCTGAAAGTCAGTGAGAAGGGCCAGCTATGACGAAAGACGCCCTAAAACATGTTCTTTTAATTTCCAAAGTGCTTCCACTTGAACCGTTGGCACTTTCACCATGACAGCACAGCAGTAAGGCTCTCCTAGGGCTCCTTCACCACGTTAAGCAGTAACTGAGCAGTATGTTAGCTCGCTTTCCTCTAGTGCACTCTCTGCATTCCCTTCCGATTTCCTGTAGCTGCAAATATGATAATCGGGAGAACAAAGACTTTGGGAGAGCCGCTGAGGAACTGGCGTCGCGGCGAAGACGCCCGATTCCACAACGTGCGAAGGACAGAGCCGCAGCGGGTCTGCTCCGTGCCCCGCGTCAGCCCGCGTGGCAAAAACACGACAATGAAAGTGCACACTGGTGAAAAGTTACTCTTTTTAACTCTGCCGAAAACATGCCTGTGCCCCAAAACCAACCCGTTTACCTCTAATTCCCACCTCCTCCCTGGCCTCTCTGGACAGCCCCCTCCTGGCACTGCATCCTTTTATCCCCGCTTCTTTTTATAACGCCCAGGTCAGGTTTCCCTCCCCACTCATGTGAGGCGCCCGCGGAGGCGCTGCCAGCGCCGGGCTCCGGGCAAGGGCCGAGCCCCGCGCGCGCCCGCTCCGCCATCGCCTGCTCGCGGCGCCTCGTCCCTCCTTCCAGCGGGAAGGAATGAGGGAAAAGGCGGTGCGCGGGGACACAGCCGCCTCGCCGCGGTGTCGTACCGCGCCTCGAGGGACGGCGCCGCCGCGGCGGGCCCCCCCGCGCGCCCCTCCCCTCCTCCTCGCTCTCGCTGCGGAAGCACAGACAGGCCGCCCGCTTCTTGTAGCCGTCGCCGTCGTAGGTGCGCGTCTGGTT